TAAATCTTAAAATGTGTGTAGAGATATTACATATAGTTTACCATCATAATCTCTTTTTTTTTTTAGAATTGAAGTTTTATGTTATTCAAAAATTGATAGATTGTATGTCACATTATGCTAAAAAAAAATAAATTTATTCTTTTGAGATGTATCATCTTTTTTTTCCTTTTCTGTATTTGGTTTTTTTTTTTAAAAAAAAAACTGTGTTTCTCTGATCTGTCGAGAAATAAAAGCAAGAAAGGTCCCATGACCAAAGCCCATAGGTCCAACTTCAGGCAAATGGACCCCCCGACCCAGTAAGAAAAAGACACAAACGGTATAAAACAAACGGCAGTTCCATGCTCCTACTCTTGAGACAGATCTTTAATTTTTTTACCGTTAAACCTGACGGCCCCACTTCCCCGCCGTCAAATTTCAAAAACCTTCTCCAACGGCTCCTTCCATTTCTTCTTATCTCGGCTTCTATCAATCTCAATCCAAATCGAAACGCATCCTGTATTTTTGCAACCAAGAAACCACCGGAAATCCCTAATTCTTGTCTCAATTAATTCTCAGAATCAGTTCATAAATGGATCCGGCCCCTCCTTATCTTCGATCCACCCCCAATTCTCAAGCGAAATCCGCCTCTCGCCTAGCAAGAATTGGATACTCTGTCATTGAATCTGAAAATCGGCCTCCGGTTCTATCTTTGGATCTCATCTCTTCCTCTCCCAAGAAAACCCCAACGTCGCCTTCCGCTATCTCTCTCAAATCTTCGACCAATTCTCTCCCTCCACCGGAAATCTTGGTTCTTTCTCCTTCTCCACTGAGAAAATCGAGGACCCGCCCCGCGGATAGGCTTGAGATGGCGGAGGAAGCTTCAGAGATTAATGGGTCGCGCAGGAGATGCAAAAGCAGGTGTTCCCAGTTGGCTGTTTTGGGTTGTAACTCTCCCAGGAACAATCGGAGGTCTAGGAGAAGAATGGAAATGGAAGTGAGAGAAGAGAGGGATTCGAGCCTGGTTGAGGAGATTGGGAAAGCAAGAAAAAGGCGACATAGTGGCAAATCAAAGAAGGAGAAGCTCAGTTTAGTCCCTGTGATACCTTCATCAAATTTGTCTCCAAGTATGTGCTAATTTTTCTTTGTTTTGCTTTCTATGTTTTTTGTTGGTTTTCAGTGATTTATTATTCTCGTGGTGGTGGTGCTTGTTTTTGGTTTAGAATTGGATGATTATGATAGAGGTAATCTCGATCGAATGGGAGAGACAATTAGTGATTTGGTCATGTGGAGAGATGTGGCCAAATCAAGCCTTTGGTTTGGATTTGGTTGTTTGTGTTTCTTGTCTTCTTGCTTTGCCAAAGGAGTCAGCTTTAGGTGTGTGTTTCTTCTGTCCTCTCCCCACTCTTGGTTTACATTTTGGGTGTTTAGGCAAGGCATCTAAGTCTTTCTCACTTTCACTTTTCAGTATGTTTTCGGCATTATCCCAGGTTGGACTTCTGTTTTTGGGTGCTTCCTTCTTCTCTAACTCATTCTGTCGAAGGTACAACTCCATTTTTTGCTTGATACCGTCTAATTTATCTTTTCCATTTTCCCCCTAAACTTATGCTGTTGATTCACAGAGAAAATGTTGAAAAGAGGCGTGATTTGAGGCTGAGAGAAGAGGACTTCTTGAGATTGGCTAGACTGATACTTCCAGCTGTGAATCTTGCAATCTCAAAGATGCAAGAGCTATTCTCTGGAGAGCCATCCATGACCCTCAAAGTAATTACTGAAACTCACCACTAATACTTTAAAAATATTGGCTAAATGAGTACTTGTATGGATCCTCACTTCATCAGAAGTTAATGCAAAAATTTCTTGTTAATAATTCAAAAACCATGTTTGAGGTTTTTGCTTAAATGGGTGCTTATTACCTTTCGAGTAATAACAGAAGCTTAAAGGGATGCCTATCATGCTTCATTTTGAACAAATGCAGGTAGCTCCATTGCTTCTCCTTGGAGCTGAGTATGGCCACAATATTACCCTAAGGAGGCTCTATGCATTTGGTATGTTATCATCCTAGTACCTACTAATTCTTATGAACGTCTGTTTATGAGTTTTGTTACTTAGCCTCTGTGTGGTGATTGCTGGCCTTGTATTTGAGCAGGATTCTTTATTAGTTTCACTCTACCAAAACTATATTCGTCATACTCTGGTCAGATAAACCAAAAGGGTATACTATACAACCCAACTAATTACTTGAATCAGAGATTCTCCTTTCTTTTTTCTTTTAACTGAATTTGATTTTGGGTATGCAGGTGAGTACGTGAAACAGTGGCTTGTGGAAGCTTGGGGAGCTTGCTCTCACAAGAAGCTTGTGGCGGTTTCAGCAGTAACAGCCTTTTGGAATCTGTCGAGTGTAAAAACTCGAATTTTCGCAGGTAAATTGATCTTACTAGGATTCAGCCATCCACAACAATATATATATATATATATATATATTTTCAGGGGCCAGGTAGAGTAATGCAATGCAGGTTTAGGGCTGTAGTGGTTCATCAAAACTTGTGATCTACAATGAGATTAAGAATTAGTTTAATGAAGTGATTATTCGTCAAAACTTACAATCTGGGATTGGAAGAAAAAATAGTGATGATAGCCACCTCTCGACTTGATTCTGATATACTTTTTGTTACCTGTTTGTTGCAGCATTCATATCTCTCGTGATAATCCGGTATTGCCAGCAGCATTTTGTGCCAAACTCAGCTGAGTCAGAAGAAGTGGTAGAAGAGCAGCAGCAGGACCAAAAGGCATTAGTTGTAGCAGGAGAGCAAACACAGAAGTGGTAGTAATTTGTTTCTTTCACTGAATTTAAATTTTCAACACCATTGAAGTTTGTATATCAACTCCTTTGGAAACTAAAATGATATATTCATGTTCAGTTTGTTCTTGCATAAATAAAATGACTAGCATTCTTGTTTTCTCTTGAAGATTTGCCCAGTTTTGCCTTTACTTGGGCTCTTTTTTTTTGTTTTTTGTCGGGGGGGGGGGGGATGAGATTCTCGCAAAAGGAAAAAAAAAAAAATAGTAATCTAATGAAATTATAAGTTTACTAGAGTGTGGTGTTTTTTCTTTTTTCTTTTTTTTTTTATTTTTTTTTATAAGCATAGAGTGGTATTTTGTAGTTTAAATTATATTTAATTATAAAATAATAACTTTAAATTAAGAAAGATCTTTAATATTAAATTTTTTTATTTAAAAATAACATATTTTCAAAAATAAAATAAAAATGAGGGTGTAATTACATTATTATAATTAATTTTATTTTTTTATTTTTTTTATTATTATTTTTATAAAATTAATAATTTTAATAATAAAAAATAAAAATATTGTAAAAAATATACTTATTTGTTTTTAAACACATCCTTATTAGTCATTTAATGTTAAATAACAACCGCTAACCATTGTATAGCCAAACAATTATATTTATCGAATCCATTATTTATCTTCCGCTATCCGCTAACTGCCACCCGCTACCCACATCCGCTATCCGCTATCCGTTATCCGCTATCCGCTACCTGCTATCCGCTGAATTTTAACCGCTGTACCAAACAAGCCCTAAGTATCCAACTGATCCAATTCCAGACTTTAAAAGGATGTATGTTTGCATTGGTGCACTAAAATGTGACTGGTGTGCTGGTTGTAGGCCAATTATAGGGATTGATGGGTGTTTTCTCAAGGGACTTTGTAAGGGGATTTTGTTGTCAGCTATAGGGAGAGATGGAAATGACCAAATGTACTCTATTGCTTTGGCTGTGGTGGAATAAAAAAATAAGGAGTCATGGACATGGTTTCTAAGACACTTGAAATTTGATATTTTACAAAAGGATGGCACAAGATTGGCAATTATTTCAGACCAGCATATTGTAAGTTTATATAGCTTTTTAGATGTAAAACTCTAATTTCATACCAACATGTTATGTGAAATTATTATTATTTTTTTTTTTTGTAATATGAATTTTTAATTATTTCAGACCAACATGTTATGTGAAATTATTTTATTTTTCTGTAATTTGATTTTTTATAAGTTTATGATATATATTTTCCTTATTTTCATACTTATAGCTTTTAAAATGTAAAACTATAGTTTTAATTAACTTATGTGATTTTTATAGGGTATTTTAGCAGCAGTTAGATCAGTTTTTCCTAAGGCTGAGCACAGATTTTGTGCTAGACATATCTATGCAAATTAGGCAAAAGATCCTTTATAAACAGAAGGGATGAAAAGAAGCTGCACTTTTGGATAACTGCGAGGTCTACTTATGTTGAGGAGCTTAATGACAACATGGTACATATGCAAGGGCTAACACAAGCTGGGCATGATGCATTAGCAATGCTAGACCCCAAGAGATGGTGCAAGGCTTTCTTTCAAACATATTCAATGTGTGACATCATTGACAACAACTTAACGGAGACATTCAATTCTTGGATACTTGATGCAAGATGCAAGGCTATATGTAGTATGACAGATGAGCTGGTAGATAAGTTGATGGTTAGGCATGGTGAAAAGAAGGCATTTTGTAGGAAATGGCCTACTAACATTGCTCCAAGAGCATACAAGAAATTGCAGAAAAATGTTCACATTGCAGCATATTGCCATCCACAATGGAATGGGGAAACATCATTCAAGGTTAAAATGGACAATGAAGCATTTGTAGTTGAATTCACGGATTCCACATGCACATGCCAATCATGGCAGTTGATAGGGATTCCTTGCCCACATGCTTGTGCTTGGCTAATTGATCAAAATCAAAATGTGGAGGAATATGTTTCCCATTACTACAAAAAAGACACTTATTTGGAAGTGTACAAAGAACCAATCTACCCTTCTAGAGGAGGTATGAGAATTTGGAATCAAACTGGATGTGAACCAATGACTCCACCACCATTTAGGCAACAAGCTGGGAGGCCGAAAAAAAAATAGAAGAAAAGATAAGGATGAACCAAAGAAGGTTAGCAAGTCTCGGTTGGTTATCCAAAGGATTTCCAGATCAGGTGCTAAGATGACTTGCTCAATTTGTGGACTTGAAGGTCACAACAAAATTGGCTGCCCTAAAAGAAATTCACCAGATGTGGTTCTTGGTCAGGTAAAAGCTTGTATTATAAATACTTACATGTCCATTAAATCTGGTGGTAATTATAATATAATTTAATTTGTGGAGTTAAGAATCATATTTAATTTAATTTTTTTTTTTTTTTT